AACCAGGGTTACCTCAACTCAAAGAGTAGCTAAATTTTGTTTGTGTTAGCCATACAATGAGTTATCTGTCCATCGTAGGGAGAGAGAGTAGTATAAGAAAAACGCTCATAAAATCTTTAGAATCTGTGTGCGAGACTACTTGAGTCTGGTATGTAGAGTATTGTAGTTTACGCCAATGTGAGGACTTTCCTATTATTTTACTCCTCAGATGATACCAATTATGATGAATTTGCTACTACACTGTCTTTGTCAAAACAACCATAAATTCAAATCTGTTGATAGAATAAATTAGTAAAGCATTTGAATAAATCAAGGATTGTCACCAAAATCAGCTCAGTTCTGAATAGTACTGGAACAGTGAGACTGTTAAAATATGTAGGACCAATCAACAGAACATTTTCAAGAAAAGAGCTTTCGGTGTTCTTCGTGGAATACTTTCTCGGCAAAGCACACTTCTATCATTTACTAAAATATTCAAGTCAATAGCTATATCTATCAACAAGGAAAACTCGAATGAAATTTTTTTTTGAGCTCTTAACCTAAGTGTTAATCAATTAACGACTACGACGTCTTTTAATAATCGGGTGTCACTTGGTGTAGTATACAGCAAGGACATTGTTAATTAAACCGATACAATTATTTAGTTTATATCTTACAAGTTATAGTTCAACTATATCACTAAAGCTTCATGTTGTTTTATGACAAACACACCCCAAGATATGAATCTAAAATATTGCAGTTTTTCATAAATGGATGGATAATATTTACCATAATTTCTCCCATGTTATATTCTTCTATGGATGTATAATGTTAGCTACAGAGACCACATATTTACACATCAGGATTGGATTTGGTAATCTAGCTCCTCTGAGCTAACGGACATTAAAGTTTGTTTGTTTGTTTTGAATTTCGCGCAAAGCTACACCAGGGCTATCTGCGCTAGCCGTCCCTAATTTAGCAGTGTAAGACTAGAGGGAAGGCAGCTAGTCATCACCACCCACCGCCAACTCTTGGGCTACTCTTTTACCAACGAATAGTGGGATTGACCAGAACATTATAACGCCCCACGGCTGAAAGGGGGCGAGCATGTTTGGTGTGACGGAGATTCGAACCCGCGACCCATAGATTGCGAGCCGAGTTCCCTAACCACCTGGCCATGCCGGGCGGACATTAAAGATTCTTATTCCATAGTGCTGTGACAACGAAAGTTATACCTCCGACTCATTAAACACGTTGAAAGCTTCTAATTGGTAAAATTATCTTGACACCGAGCCAATGCAATGAGATGTACACTACAATGTCAATTCAAATATTTCCGTTATTTGTATTTACATTTGAAAAATCAAAACGAGACCAAGCCGTCAGGAGCGGCTGGTCCCCCCACTCCCGTCAAGATGTACCTATTAAACTTTTCATTTGTTATATTCTTATATATATATGTTCTTATATTGTGACTATTGGACGGCCACTGTTAATATCCACACGATGAACCGTCACAGCGAACTTTATCATTAAAGTCGTTCTCGTTCTACAATATTTGTAAGTTCAAATGGTTTGTGTAAACGTGTTTCCAAAATGCAATATCGTATAACACTAATTCACTTACCAGTTAAATCCTTGAAGAACACGAGATGTCGATAATCTCCTTTAAATGCAACACGCGTTAGTTTTACTACTGAGGTTTTACTTAATCACAAAATACGATTTGTACTTCTTTACTCGGAAAACCCAGATGTGACGACCAAACTTGCTGGTTTCAAACAAGTAGTCTGCTAGGTCCCTGTAGCAAAGAGGGGGTGGGAGGGATTAGCGGAATGGGCTGATAAAAATCCAGAGAACTATAAAACAACTTTCTATATATATCTTTCAATGTGAGGAATGGTTTTAAAAAAAAAAGAAAACCTTACGTTATAAGGTGGTCCAATATATTGTGCAAGCCATGTTCTTGTAATTGTTCATACACGTATGCATTGTGGGAAATAATGATGACGTATTTCATATTTCGGCCACTCAAATACACCAATTTCTTCTTCTTTTTCTTCCTTTGATGTTTTTCTCTTTCCCGTACACATTCACGAGACAGAGAAATGAAATACGGGTATTATTACACATAATAGTAGCAATTCTAAGGGGCAGTAATCAACCAAAAAAAAGAAAAAAACGGCAAACAACTAGAAAGTCTAGTTCCAAGAGCTTTACGCATGCGCAAGTAATGGAGCTAGTAGTCATGCGGAAAATTACACCAAAATTGAAGAGATTGTGATGTAATTTTATGCTTTAATAGCAATGTAGTGACCGATACACTGGCTGTAGCCTGTGTTGTTCTGCTATTTTCATACACTTGAACAGTAAACCCAAGAAAAATCACAGCTACAAGTATTGTTACGGAGAACAAAAATATAGTCGCCCGGCAAGATATATATATAGTATATTTATGTGTGTTTTGTGTATATATATATATATATATATACTAGCCCTTGTTTAATATTGCTAGCCAAAAGTTTATTATATTATCCCATTTGGATGCACACACACACACACACACACACACACACATATATATATATATATAGAGAGAGAGAGAGAGAGATAGGGCAGTGTGGCCTAATGATCAGGGGTTTGGCACATGTTTCAGCCTCGTCGCCTTGTTCGTGAGCAAACCCTTTAACCCTTTTTTCTTCAATCAACCCAGTTATATAATAAGTACCAAGTGCCAACCGATGGCTGGGATTGGCACCTCATCCAATGAAAGGCGTATCACCACTTTCACGCGCTCGTGCCAAGATATCTGCAGACAAGCACTAGCCGCTATATGGCGTATCGGCATTCTCCTTTTCTTCTGTCTGTTTGAATTTATACACAATGGGCTATCTGTGCTCTGTCCACCACGGGTATAGAAACCCGGTTTCTAGCGTTTTAAGTCCGCAGACATACCGCTGTGCCACTGGGGTGGAGGGGCTCCTTTTCTTCTGTGTATTATAGTTAAACCTGTTTGGAAAGTATTCATTCTCAAGCGCAGTTATGGTTTAATACTTGTAAAAAAAAAAAAGAGTTATTTTCCCGAATTATTAAAAGTATCATATCATTCGAAGGATTTATATGTTTATGAAAAACCTAACGTTCAACCTAATTGACAGATCCATCAAACAGAGGCTTTAAAAAATAAAACACAGCGAGATCAATGATATACAAAGGCCTCTTAAGTCCTTGGGACAGGGGCGAACCGAGACTGGTTGGGATACCGGGCAATACATATTTTTGGCATTGGTTTGTTTGTTTGTAATTAAGCACAAAGCTACACAATGGGCTATCTGTGCTCTTCCCACCACGGGTATCGAAACCCGGATTCTAGCGTTGTAAGTCCGCAGACATATCGCTGTGCAACTAGGGGGGGGGGGGCATTTTTGCCCTTGGAAACTGATCCTAGATTCCACTGGCCATATATGCGTTATAAAACCAATTATCGTGGTATATTCGAAACGTTCCCAGATGTGTCATAAGACAGCTCTGTTTGAATGCAATATCAGATTAGATAAATAAATTATTACTTTTTATTTTCCCTATTTCAATTCAAATATTATTCCATAAATTGAAATTATTTCAAAAAACTATTTGGCAAAATATAAACTGATCAATAAAAAAAACACGTGCAAAAACATTGTATTTTTGCATGGTGTTTTCGGTTCTCTAGAGTGAACTTATTTTCTTACTTATATAGGATTTTATAAAATATATCTGTTTTTGATAATAGGAAATACAGTGTTTTAGAAAAAAAAAGACATTTGTTGTGGTTTTTCAAATTGAGCCATTTATGCTATTTTTGATGGCGAAACAGAAAAATGTGTTTGTTTGTTTGTTTTGAATTTTGCGCAAAGCTACACGAAGGATATCTACGCTAGCCGTCCCAAATTTATCAGTGTAAGACTAGAGCAAAGGTAGCTAGTCATCACCACCCACCGCCAACTCTTGGGCTACTCTTTTAGAAACACTTAAATTTACTTAATCATCTTTGAGCAAAGTTACACATAAGGCCCACAAGGTTTTGTCAACACACACACACTGTCTTGGGCCATTACTTAAGCCTGTCCCCAAGCCAACTTTGCCTTTGATTTCAGTTCAGCTTTTGTTGATCTCTTTTCTGTGTCCCTTCAGGAGTACAAAACTTAACCTTTCATGATGTTGGCCCTTAACCATTCATGATGTTGTCCCTTCAGGAGTACAAAACTTAACCTTTCATGATGTTGTCCCTTAACCTTTCATGATGTTGTCCTGTTCTTTCCTCAGTATATGGTCTATCTACATCCTTCTAGTTATCTCTACCATGACATCTTCCTGTCTTGTGTTTCTTCTCACTTATTTGAGATCTCTGCACAATGGTTTTTCGTTGTACAAATGTACACACATTTTTACTTTTTCATGTCAATATAACTTGATAAGGAAAAAGTATAACACTTTATGCAGTACAAAGTCGACACCAAACTGAAAAATGATTTCACAACTGGTGATGTTAGAAAAACAAAAAATACCCCTATAAACCTGGGTTATAGGATATCATATTTTTATGTCACACCTAGTGTAAATGTAGCACTTAGTTACAAGTGCTAGGATATCATATTTTTATGTCACACCTAGTGTAAATGTAGCACTTAGTTACAAGTGCTTCTTCATGGCCATTTTATTTTCCTTGTGATGATTTCATATATAATTACTTCTGTTTCCCTGATGTACCTTTGAAGATGTGACTACTTCCTCTGGTGGATAAAATAGAAGTTAATAAACAATGCTAAATAAGTCCTCCTAGAATGATGACAACCTATGTGCATTGCCTACAATTAATTGGCATATTTAAAGGTGTCATAGTGCTTAAATTCCAATGAGTAAAAACAGATGATATATGACATAGGAAAAATGTATGTGTTAAAATAGAACATGTTTCATGTTAATTGTTGTGTTCTTTAACAATTTCAGTAACCAACAGTCAAATACTTAACACTACTTTATATTAATTATAAGGTTCGCTGTTTATTTCGTATTCGTACAGTTACATATGCACATATAACAAGCTGTACAACAGGGAAGGCAGTACAACAAGTTTACAAAAATATCATCTTTCTAGTAAATTATAAAATGACTCGTTGCTTCTAGGCTAAACAAAGATGACTTACAAGTCTAAAATATGTTTTTCTTTACAAGCTACCTCTGAATGACTAAGTTACTGTAAACCGTGATAAACAGCTTTGATATGCAGTTAATTGTTACAAGTCAATAAAAAAAAGTAGAAACATGAATTTGTAAATATTTAACATGTATGTTTATAAATACTATTACCAGCCATCTTGAGAACATCATCTTAATCTCCAGCTGTGACTATCGTTTTTGGTGTGTGATTAAACAGAACATGCATGTTTATAAATACTATTACCAGCCATCTTGAAAACATTATATTAATATCCAGCTGTGACTCTAAGGTTTTTGATGTGTATTTAAACAGAACATGCATGTTTATAAATACTATTACCAGCCATCTTGAGAACATCATCTTAATCTCCAGCTGTGATTCTAAGGTTTTATGTGTATTAAACAGAACATGCATGTTTATAAATACTATTACCAGTCATCTTGAGAACATCATCTTAATCTCCAGCTGTGACTAAGGTTTTTGATGTGTATTTAAACAGAACATGCATGTTTATAAATACTATTACCAGTCATCTTGAAAACATTATATTAATTATCAGCTGTGACTCTACGGTTTTTGACGTGTATTTAAACACAGCAAGAAAAATGGACATACACTTAAAACACATTAAATCAAAATACTGTTGTCAGCTTTATTTGCATAGCTGACCAATCAAAATCAGCATACGATGCCTATAGCAGCCTTGATTTGTAAATCAACTTATACAAATTCCCCCTTGTTCCTTTACTACATATATAATTGGTTTTAAGAATAAGTAATACATACTTAATGTCAAAATATCAGCTAATAAACAGGTTTTTTTTTCTGTTATCGATTAAGACCTGAAGAGATCAACATTGAGAAACCAAGATCCAATATTGAGTTCAGTTAATTCTCAAGTTTCCCTTTCAACCACCTTTCTCCCAAGACAAGAAATATACTTTTTACTATTTTGGAAGAACGACTCAAATATTGAAGTCGGCCATTTTACTTGTATTTACAAAAATATATTTTAAAATATAATTTATAGATTAGTAGACATTAATCTATTCTGGGAGACAACAATATGACCAGGGTTAAACAAAATTAAAAACACTGATAAAAAATACCTAAGATTTACAATACTACAACAATGAAAAAAAAATCACTTAATATGACTGGGAATACTGAAAATACAGAGCCTTTAAAATAATAAAACACTGTCTTTATTGAAAGTAACAATAATGTATGTTTTCATCTGCATTTTAATGTAGACAATATCACATTTGAAACTACTGAATTTAATAAAACATATATATATGAAGTCAATATTGAATGTGCTGTAAAGATCCAGATAACTGAAAACTCAAGTCAAATAACATTAGAAGCCAAATAAATTAACTGTGAATGAGCTGAAAAAGCCAAATAACTGAAAGTCAAATTCACCCAACATTAGGACACACACAATTATATATATTCAATCTTGAATTTATATATATATATATATTTACATATAGAAATTTATTTCAAAATGTTTGTTTCCTTATGGTTCTGTTTTTCATTTGGATGGTAAAATAATCCCAAAGTTTGTTTCTATATATAATTTCAAAAATACTGGTAGTTTATTACTCTGTGTCAACTTACAAAAATATTTTATTTTCAGCTTTACAAGATTTGTAGCTGAAATAAGAGTTTCTCTAACAAAACTAGTAAAGTCATTTTGGAAAATAAATAAGACACAAGAAACCAGCAACTACAAGGGTTTAAGGGTATCTTTAGGTAACAATTTTCTCAATTTCACAAGGGTTTAAGGGCATCTTTAGGTAACAATTTTCTCAATTTCACAAGAGTTTTAAGGGTATCTTTAGGCAACAATTTTCTCAATTTCCCAAGGGTTTAAGGGTATCTTTAGGCAATGATTTTCTCAATTTCACAAGGGTTTAAGGGTATCTTTAGGTAACGATTTTCTCAGTTTCACATTTCATTTGTAAGGTTGTTTTTTACACATTAATTCGTACAAATACAATCAAATATTTTACCAACTAATTTATAAATATTTTTTCATGGTATTTTCTTATTAAGCACTAAATAACTTTTACACAAAACAATGTGACACTAAAAACCTGTGAAAACACAGTATCTGTTACCCACTTAACATGTCTACTCATTCACATCTTTCTGTACTAAGTTCCACTGAACCCAATGCCAAAGGTTTTGTAGAACGTTTTTGTTACTTTCGATAATTCAATAATCTTATACTGAAGTTAACAAGAGTCAAACACCTAAGTGGGCATTAAAAAGCAGATGTTGCCCTTCATTTTATGTCAGAAAGTTTACCAATTAAAACACAGTGAATTGATTTATTGTACACTCACCATGAGTTTCCTTACTCATGATTCAATAATCTTATACTGAAGTTGACAAGAGTCACACACCTAAGTGGGCATTAAAAAGCAGATGTTGCCCTTCATTTTATGTCAGAAAGTTTACCAATTAAAACACAGTGAATTGATTTATTGTACACTCACCATGAGTTTCCTTATGCAAGTTATTCAAGACAGATCAAATAGAAAAGTTATTGATAAGAAGAAGATATATCAATATTCTCTGTACAGGATGTTACTATTGAACAACAAAGTTCTTTCAAAACTTTAAAAATAACTACTATGATTGATGGCTTCACATGTAAGCTATATTTTCTAGTTAGAGAGACACTCTTAAACTAGATTATCAGTACATTCAGGCATGGCAAGTGTCCATTTTTCTCACAATCTTTACTTGCTTATTGACTTACCAGTAAAACAAAAGGTTAAAAATTTCCTGTATTAGCTCAATGGTTTTTACGTGACACGATTCTTGACGTTTCCTGAAATAATTTGCTTCACTTAAAGACGTGTGTGTGTTGAGTACCAACTTTGGAAGGTTTTTACAAGTACTTCGATATAACACTGATAACGACAGAATCTTTTTAACCAAACCTTCAATTTCTGGTATTAAAAACTTTTTAAAGTAACATAACGACACCAAAGTAAAAAACAAAACAAACTATGTCATCATGTCAAATATGTCTTTCTGTTCCTACTCATTAATAGAGGCAAAACCTCTGCTTCCATTATTCTTCAAAAAGCTGATATCCTTGTCGGTGTATGTATGTATATATTGGCATTTTCATCATCAATTTGTGGTTACTTAAACACCTGATCTTCACATCCTTTAATTAACTTGTTTATACACATACTTTAATAGACAATGAAATAATAACATCAAAGCTATTTGAACATACATTTGGTGAACACTAGGAGACAGTGTTTAATAAAAATTCCACGTAGCCTTCTGCTCCTGTGAAAATAACGTCTACCCAGATCCTCATAGCTTCAGGACTGGGGGCTGCTAGGAAGTACGTTCGGTCGTAGGTTTTGACACAAAATGTAGCTCTTAAGTTTGGACTTTTATTAGAGTGCAGGTGATCCACATAAACTTCTTCAATAGCCTTTAAAATGATAGACATAAGACACAGTAAGTAATAGCCTTTAAAATGATAGACATAAGACACAGTAAGTAATAGCCTTTAAAATGATAGACATAAGACACAATAAGTAATAGCCTTTAAAATGATAGACATAAGACACAGTAAGTAATAGCCTTTAAAATGATAAACATAAGACACAGTAAGTAATAGCC